GATCAAAACGATGTGCTTAAGGCTCTTAGCACCCTAAACATGGAAAAGTCAACTGGACCAGATGAACTACATCCCAAAATCTTGAGACATACTGCCTAATATATCGCGGCCCCACTGACTGTGATATTCAATACATCACTTGACCAAGGTGTGTTACCTATGGACTGGAAGGACGCAATCGCCACTCCCATACATAAAACAGGTCTACGACAAGTTCCATCGAATTACAGACCCGTAAGCCTCACCAGTGTTGTAATTAAAATACTGGAAAGAATAATCAAACGGACCATGACGGCATTTATGGAAACCAGTAACTTGCTGAACATGGCACAACATGGTTTTAGAAAGGGTCTATCCTGTACAACGAACCTCCTTATAGCTAGGGAGCTCTGGATTAATGCGATAGACAACGGAAACTCAGTGGATGTTGTCTACATAGACTTCAGTAAGGCTTTTGACAAGGGGCCAACTAATAGACTGCTATTGAAGTTGGCAAACCTTGGTATTGCCGGACCTCTTTTAAAATGGATTAAGGATTTCCTAGTAGGTCGTAGGCAAAAAGTAAGAATAAATTCCAAGTGCTCCATCTGGAGACCAGTACTTAGTGGAGTACCCCAAGGTTCCGTCTTAGGTCCTTTACTTTTTATAATGTACGTTAATGATCTCACAAGTATAGTACGGTCTCCAATGTTATTATACGCTGATGATGTAAAAATCTGGCGAGTAATAACTGAAGACAATGACGCATTTACTCTTCAGGAAGACTTAAATAATATGATAAACTAGTCAAAAGAGAGGCTGATGCCTATCAACTCGGAAAAGTGTGTCTACATGCACATGGGGGATACAAAGGTTAATACGTACAACATAGGGGATGTGTCATTACCAGTAGTCCAGTCTCATAAGGATCTAGGAATGACAGCGAGTAATGATCATAAGACGACGGCCTGTAGTGACTCACATTTATCACGAGAACACGACTGGTTTATTAAAAACAACCATTATTATAACAAACTGTACCAGTGTTTGTTTTAATGTGCTTTTGTTTGACTGTGCTAATAACAGCTATTTTGTGCTTCCATTCTTATTCACACACTTCGATTGTAACTTCGCGCGAATTCAGTTACCTTCTGTAACCAAGGTTGTATCCTGGCACGATCTCGGTATCCTCTCGATGCCACGAGATCGCCAGCAAATATAACTCGACTTGGTCCTTTAATTGTCTTCTGATATTTGGCTTCTCGAGGATTTTACGGATTTATTTGGTTACGTTCAACCTTCGCCTTCTGATTCGCTTGGCACGTGTTTCTTGGTAGCGGTGTTCATAGTTAAACTCAACTCGACCCCACGCTACAATTGGTGAACCCAAAGTTTGGAACACGCCTCAACCTCTGTTCGAATCCACTTCTGTCGTGTATTTTCATATTACCTTTCAATATATAATATACGCGACATGACGGATAACGATAAGAATAGTATTAATATAATAGACTCCCATGTACGTGTACCGAATCCTTGTCACTTATTATTCGCGTGACGGTAAATTCCACGCTTTATTCGAGAAAATTTCCCCTATTAACTTTTCTCCTCGCTGACCCGGCTGCTTGGTACGGAATGCATACGCATGAGCATATCCGTCTACCACCCAGCACCAAATGGTTAAGTAAACGGTTTCACTGCCAACTTAAAAGTGCTCTACGAGCACACGAGAACGACAACTGGTACGAAACCTTATCGCTCGTCCTCTTAGGTATTCGAACGAGCTTGAAGGCAGATATGCAATGTTCCGCCGCTGAACTGGTATACGGCACGACATTGCGTCTGCCCGGAGAATTCTTCACACCACGGAGCAGACCTAATTTCGGTAAATCAGACTACGTCCATTGACTGTCTGCATTTATGCGAACGCTGTCTCCGGTGTCAACTCGAATACAACATCGACAGGTCGCTCTCCCTCGAGAGTTATCTACCTGTTCACATGTTTTCATACGAGTAGATTCGGTACGCAAACCCTGACAACAACCTTACGAAGGCCCTTTTCACGTGATCGCTCGTCACGAAAAGACCTTCAAGGTTGATCGACATGTCCGCGTCGAGATCGTCAGCATTGATCGTTTCAAACCAGCACACGTCGATGACAGTGCCCTATCTGATAACCTGAGATTCAATGCTAGATATATCTGAGACCTCATTCTCACGTCCCGGTCAACAGCACGCGTCATCTGCACCGTCTACGGACGAGACGACAGTCTCACGTCCAGACCAGCAGACCACGCCGCCTCTGACCTCGGATGAGATTGCAGGCTCACGAAATACGAACGAGACTACCGTCTCACGTTCCGGCCGCCGAGTACGGTTGCCCGTACGTTTCCGCGACTAGCCGCACAGTTAACAACCGATACGGTGTAGGACTATTCCTATGCTACATGCATGCTACACTCTTCTCTTTTTTGATTTTCTTTTGTTTCCTGAGCCCACGCCTTCGACCATCTCTGTTTGGTACCGTCGACTTCAGTCAACTTTGGCGAAAGCTGGCCTGATCACCCACGCTCTTGTCAACGTACTCAGTCGATATATTGGTTTCGAATGCTTGGCATACGCTTGATCTCGAATGCTCAGCATACGCTTGGTCTCGAACTTTGTCGTTTTGGTCGCTTCTGGTCTTTTGGCTCAACGTGGTTTCGTCCTACGTCTGCAACGTTTCTGGTCCGCTTTCCCTACGAACGCCATCTTCAGATTCTGGATACAAACCACTCTGGTGTAGCATGCCAACTCAAGCAACAAATACAGCACATCGCTCCAGGTACCGTTCTCCGAAAACAACCTTCGTTGGCAACTCGACGATCAACGATCGCTTTCCTGTTCGCCAATTCTTCCGTCCTACAATCGCTCGTCAACCGATCAGTCCCACGATTCAAACCGCTATTTATCGAAAGTGTAACCCTTTCTAGCGGGGGGCTCCTGTAGTGACTCACATTTATCACGAGAACACGACTGGTTTATTAAAAACAACCATTATTATAACAAACTGTACCAGTGTTTGTTTTAATGTGCTTTTGTTTGACTGTGCTAATAACAGCTATTTTGTGCTTCCATTCTTATTCACACACTTCGATTGTAACTTCGCGCGAATTCAGTTACCTTCTGTAACCAAGGTTGTATCCTGGCACGATCTCGGTATCCTCTCGATGCCACGAGATCGCCAGCAAATATAACTCGACTTGGTCCTTTAATTGTCTTCTGATATTTGGCTTCTCGAGGATTTTACGGATTTATTTGGTTACGTTCAACCTTCGCCTTCTGATTCGCTTGGCACGTGTTTCTTGGTAGCGGTGTTCATAGTTAAACTCAACTCGACCCCACGCTACAATTGGTGAACCCAAAGTTTGGAACACGCCTCAACCTCTGTTCGAATCCACTTCTGTCGTGTATTTTCATATTACCTTTCAATATATAATATACGCGACATGACGGATAACGATAAGAATAGTATTAATATAATAGACTCCCATGTACGTGTACCGAATCCTTGTCACTTATTATTCGCGTGACGGTAAATTCCACGCTTTATTCGAGAAAATTTCCCCTATTAACTTTTCTCCTCGCTGACCCGGCTGCTTGGTACGGAATGCATACGCATGAGCATATCCGTCTACCACCCAGCACCAAATGGTTAAGTAAACGGTTTCACTGCCAACTTAAAAGTGCTCTACGAGCACACGAGAACGACAACTGGTACGAAACCTTATCGCTCGTCCTCTTAGGTATTCGAACGAGCTTGAAGGCAGATATGCAATGTTCCGCCGCTGAACTGGTATACGGCACGACATTGCGTCTGCCCGGAGAATTCTTCACACCACGGAGCAGACCTAATTTCGGTAAATCAGACTACGTCCATTGACTGTCTGCATTTATGCGAACGCTGTCTCCGGTGTCAACTCGAATACAACATCGACAGGTCGCTCTCCCTCGAGAGTTATCTACCTGTTCACATGTTTTCATACGAGTAGATTCGGTACGCAAACCCTGACAACAACCTTACGAAGGCCCTTTTCACGTGATCGCTCGTCACGAAAAGACCTTCAAGGTTGATCGACATGTCCGCGTCGAGATCGTCAGCATTGATCGTTTCAAACCAGCACACGTCGATGACAGTGCCCTATCTGATAACCTGAGATTCAATGCTAGATATATCTGAGACCTCATTCTCACGTCCCGGTCAACAGCACGCGTCATCTGCACCGTCTACGGACGAGACGACAGTCTCACGTCCAGACCAGCAGACCACGCCGCCTCTGACCTCGGATGAGATTGCAGGCTCACGAAGTACGAACGAGACTACCGTCTCACGTTCCGGCCGCCGAGTACGGTTGCCCGTACGTTTCCGCGACTAGCCGCACAGTTAACAACCGATACGGTGTAGGACTATTCCTATGCTACATGCATGCTACACTCTTCTCTTTTTTGATTTTCTTTTGTTTCCTGAGCCCACGCCTTCGACCATCTCTGTTTGGTACCGTCGACTTCAGTCAACTTTGGCGAAAGCTGGCCTGATCACCCACGCTCTTGTCAACGTACTCAGTCGATATATTGGTTTCGAATGCTTGGCATACGCTTGATCTCGAATGCTCAGCATACGCTTGGTCTCGAACTTTGTCGTTTTGGTCGCTTCTGGTCTTTTGGCTCAACGTGGTTTCGTCCTACGTCTGCAACGTTTCTGGTCCGCTTTCCCTACGAACGCCATCTTCAGATTCTGGATACAAACCACTCTGGTGTAGCATGCCTGTAAGATCCATTTTGAATGTTTTGTGTGTTTGTGAAAATCCCTCCATGTATTTACTTGCACTTTGTTCCTATTGATCCTCTTAGTTGTACATTGTCGTATTTTGATTACATTTGAGTTGTTAATACTTGTATTTTTTATTATAGTTTTTGTTTTTCTTACGCATTCACTAAGTTTGTGTTTCTTCCTGAACTGCATCTGTGTTGTTTTACTTGACACTTGTTCTTGGCGGTAGCCATATTGATTTGTTCCTCCTGTTGTGTGTGATCTATCCAGCCAGGATAGAATAACGTTGATTTGTTGTGATTGGTAAATTTCTTGCATCCTTTATCAACTTTCTTATTTATTGTAATTTAGATTTGATCAATTGAACAATTATTGGTTGGATAGCTGAGTGGTTATATTTGTTTAGGTAATAATGTACACTTAAATTTATGATAAATTATAGAACCGCTATCTTACCCAATTACTTTGTTTTGGTTTCAATCGGGCGAGGGCGCGTATCTAACTCATCCAGACAGCTGTCCAGCAGTCCAAACGTAGTTTGGATCTTACAGTTCTAAACAAATATTTGGTCGAATTCGTTTGGCTTTCGTTTCGTTGATTCCAATCATCGTCTCTGGGAATATCTGGTCGTTCGCTTGCGATGCCAAACAATCGTCGAAGGAAATTAAGTCCAAGGCTCGTGGATGTTAAAAGAGATGAACAAAAGGATGGATCCCCTCAAACAAGGCAAGTGCCTTCTGATGCTTCTATGTGTCATGGTTCATATTCTAATAGGGACGATTGTAATTATAGTGAATCTAGTTGTGATATAATGGCAGATGGCATAGAAAACCTTGATTTAGACGTGAAGCAAGCAAAAGGCGTAAGGCCTACGGCGTTTTTCATAGGTCCAGAGTTACCAAAGGTTGAGTTAAGTTATTTCGACGGTCAACCAAGAGGTTACTGGAAGTTTTTAAGGGAGTTTGAGACCTATGTGGAATCAAGGGTCAAGGATGATGGTCAACGCTTGCTTTATTTGATACATTATTGTAAGGGTAAAGCGAAAACAGCCATTGAGGGTTGTGTTATGTTGGAAGCCTCTTTTGGTTACAAGAAGGCCAAGGAAATTCTAAAACGTTTGTTCGGACAGGCGCATGTAATCGCTCGGGAGACTTTAGAGGACTTATTCAAAACTACAAATGTTGATTACAGTGATCCTGAGCAACTAACAAATCTAGCTATTAGGATGGAAAATTGTTCTATGGTTTTGAAACAGATGAAGTATACTGCCGACTTAAATTCTCTAATTACCTTAGAGAGAATAGTAGGACTCTTACCTCAAGTTATGCAAGCCCAGTGGGCGGACTGGGTGGATGAATTGACTGAAGATAATAGAGAACCAACCTTTGACGAGCTTACTCAATTTATAGCATCCCGCGCGAGAGTAGCTAATAGTAGGTTTGGACGGTTAGCGAATCGTCCGAGAAAGGGACACAACTTAAAGACAAATTGTCACTTGCAATTGGAGCGGGAGAATAATTCGAAAGAGAAAGCTAAATGCAGTGTGTGTTCCCTGGATCATGCTATTTATAAATGTCCAAAATTTTTAGCGCTTACCGTTCAAGAGAGATGGTCTCACGCGAAGGTTAATGGCATCTGTTTTGTCTGCCTTAGGCAAGGGCATAAAGTTAATGAATGTAAGCTGGCAAAACGTTGTAACGTTAATAGTTGTGAGAAGAAACACCATTCTTTGCTGCACAGCGAAAATGATAAACCTGGTATCCCGAATTGTTGTGGATTTACTAAATCCCTAAGTAGCCAAGTGTGCTTAGGAATGATTCCTGTACGTTTGATGTTGGGAAATGCCGAAATGGTGGGTTATGCTTTGTTGGATAACGGGTCTGATGTAACGTTGATAAAATCGAGCTGTTTGAGGTATCTCGGGTTGAAGGAAGACCGAGCGTCAGTGGTAGTAGAGACTGTGAGTGGTAATAGGACAATGACGGTCACAAAGACTCCTTTTGAGGTGTATTCTCTAGATCGGTCTGAACATGTTACGATCGAAGGGGCTCTGATTGTCGCAGATATACCAGGTCACAAGCCAACAAGGTCGGCAGTGAACAACTTAGTTAAATGGCCACATTTAAGGGATGTACCAATAGGCAACCTAGACTCTGAAGAAGTTCTGCTGTTGATTGGTTGCGATGTACCAGAGGCACACTGGGTGTTAGAACAGCGGTTGGGTGGAAGAAAAGGCCCGTACGCTGTGAAGACGTTGTTGGGGTGGACGGTCTTCGGACCTGCGTCATATCCGGAATACAGGAAAAGAGTTGTCAATCATACCAGTAAGATACAGGCTTTGGAGAACGAAATACGTAAACTTTATGATGTAGAGTTTTCTGATGTTTATTCAAATGATAAATCAGTATCAATAGAAGATAAGGCAGCTATAAGTATTGTAGAAGGGGGCACACGCTTCGAAAATGGTCATTTTGTAGTCCCTATACCATGGAAGGGGAACCCAGATATGAAAGGGGGGAATTATGAAGTGGCAAACAGTAGACTACAGAGTTTGAAGCGAAGATTGTTGAAAGATGACATTCTGTATATCAAGTATACAAAAGGTATTGAAAGTAATTTTATTAAGGGCTATGCGGAGAAGGTCCCTGAGATACAAGTGCAACCTAGTTATCGCCCTCGATGGTATTTACCTCACCATGCAGTTTTAAACCCGAAAAAACCAGAAAAACTGAGAGTGGTCTTTGACTGTGCCGCCAAGTTTGCAGGCGTTTCTCTAAATGATATGATTTATCAAGGACCCGACACAACTGCGGAGTTAGTGTGTATACTATTGCGTTTTCGCAAGGAAGCAGTCGCAATCTCTGCGGATGTTGAAGAAATGTTCATGCAAGTAAAGGTCCCTGAGTCTGATCGAGGAGCTTTAAGATTTCTGTGGTGGCAAGAGGGAGACATGGCGAGGGAACCATCCGAGTTTCAAATGACATCTCACCCATTTGGTGCCACATCATCGCCGTTTTGTGCGAACTTTGCCTTGAATAAGACGGCACAAATATTCTCTGACGGTTATGATGGTTATGTCGTAGATGCTGTTAAGAATAATTTCTATGTTGATGACTGCTTGGTATCCTTTCCCACTTGTGATCAAGCAAAGAGTTTCGTTAAGCAGATAAGTGAATTATTATGTAGGGGAGGTTTTAAACTAAAGAAATGGGTTACTAACTCGGAGGAGGTAAGGACCATCTTGCCCGATGTATGTAAAGAACAGTCCTTGATAGAAATGTCAACGAGTTATGACACTACACATCGAACTCTAGGAGTAGAGTGGGATTTTAGACGAGATGTATTCAAGTTTTACTTCGATGCGCCTGAAAGGCCTCTGACTAGGAGAGGGATTCTATCTATAGTTTCTTCTCTGTTCGATCCTTTGGGTTTAATTGCTCCAGTCTGTCTTACTGCCAAGGTTCTCTTGCAAAAACTATGTAAGTCTCAATTAGGCTGGGATCAGCCTCTCAACGAGCCATACATGTCGGCGTGGCTAAATTGGGTAGACTTTATGCGTCAAATAGGTCATGTTACGGTAGATAGGGGTATCAAGAAGAGAATTGACGAACCCGACGCGGAAGTAGAATTGCACCTGTTCAGTGACGCTTCAGAGATCGGTTACGGAGCAGTCGCGTACGCTCGAGTCAGTTATTTGAAGGAACAACCCTACTGTATTTTGTTATACAGCAAGTCTAGGGTAGCACCTATCAAACAGGTCACTATACCGAGGCTTGAGATGGCAGCGGCAGTGTTAAGTGTGAGGCTTAGCGAAGTCTTACAGAGAAGTCTGCCTAATTTTTTCTGTAAGGTAAATTTCCATACAGATTCCATGGTAGTGTTGTACTACATCAAGAATATCGAGAATCGCTATAGCACCTATATAGCTAACCGTCTCGCCATTGTGCATCAGTATACGAAGATTGAACAATGGAGTTATGTAAAGTCGTCACAGAATCCAGCTGACTGGACCTCGAGAGGTATACAAAAAATGTCAGATCTTGAGCTTTGGTTCAAATGTCCTACCTTACTGCATGGCGAATTTTGTACAGCAATCACTGACTGTCCGGAACCTACTCCTGACGATATTGAGTTTAGAAAAACTGCCGTGGTTAACTTGAGTAGTATAAAGTACAACATGTCACCTATTCTCGCTTATTATTCTGAGTGGTTGAAATTAGTCAGGGCCGTAGCCTGGCTTAGAAGGTTCATAGAATTTCTGATGGTGCTTCGTTCACCGAGTCATGAAGGATCCGTTCATCTAGGGTGTTTAAAGGTCAAAGAACTTGACGTCGCCAAGCGTAAAATTTTGTTGATGGTTCAAAAAGAAGTGTATGGAGAAATACTTAGTGGATTTAAAACCAATGGTAAGGTAGTTAGTCACAATGATCTGAAGGGCTTATCACCGATAATGCTTGATGGGTTACTCTGTGTTGGAGGCCGACTAAGCTACTCAGATTTCTCAAATGCCTTTAAACATCCAATAATATTGCCCAGTCGACACTTAGTGACAGAAATGATAATTAGACATTATCATAAGGAACAAGGGCACACAGGAACGTCACAAGTACTGGCCACGATTCGAAAAAGGTATTGGATAATAAAAGGAACCAGCACGGTTAAGAGAGTGATAGGAAAGTGTGTGACATGCCGGCGGTATACGATGGTTACAGGGCAACAATTGATGGCACCACTTCCAGCTTGTAGAGTGCAACAAGGATGGTATAGCTTCTCAGCCGTGGGAGTAGACTACTTTGGACCCCTTTTTGTCAAAAGAGGAAGATCACTAGAAAAAAGATATGGATGTGTATTTACTTGCTTGCAAACCCGAGCAGTACATATTGAAATGACACATAGTTTGAATACTGATTCGTTTATAATGGCCTTGCTACGTTTCATTGGAAGAAGAGGGAAACCTGCAGAAATTTACAGTGACAATGGGTCGAATTTCGTGGGTGCGGTCTCTGAACTAAAGAGATTTGTGCAACAGTTGAATCAGCAAAGGATAGACAAGGAACTGTCAGCTAGACAGATTCAGTGGCATTTTAACCCGCCCTCATCCAGCCACAGGGGTGGGGTCTGGGAAAGGATGATTAGGTCTATACGCAGACTGTTATTGTTGATAACTAGAGAACAGACTTTAACTGATGAGACCTTAAGCACTTATTTGATTGAAGTTGAAAGGATATTGAACGATCGACCCTTAACTCCAGTCGTCCAAGATGCTAACGATCAACTAGCCTTGTCGCCAAACAGCCTGTTATTATTGAGAGAATGTGACGGAATAGTCGAAGAAGGTAGCATCAGAGATAAATATGACAAACGATGGAAACAGGTTAATCATCTTGCTAATGTGTTTTGGAAAAGGTGGTTAAGAGAGTATTTACCGTCTTTACAGAAGCGTCAAAAGTGGTTAGTTGAACACCGCAATTTTCAGAAAGGTGATGTAGTGATCGTGGCTTCGGACATATCGACCCGTGGAAAGTGGCCCTTAGGAGTAGTTGAAGATTGTAAAATAGATGACGACGGAAGAGTTAGAACAGTGGTTGTTCGTACGAACGGTGGATTAGTCAGAAGAGATATACGTAGATTATGCCTCCTGGAAGGCTCGAATTAGTTCCTCGTGTTATCAATATAGGTAGGTCGAGTAGGCGTACTGTTGTAAGTCCTACTCGTTCCTATAGTGTGATATGCTACATAATGAACCATGACCATAGGCATCAAGGTAGCTTGTGTGATATGGAGGGATTTTGGGGGCCGGTGTAAGATCCATTTTGAATGTTTTGTGTGTTTGTGAAAATCCCTCCATGTATTTACTTGCACTTTGTTCCTATTGATCCTCTTAGTTGTACATTGTCGTATTTTGATTACATTTGAGTTGTTAATACTTGTATTTTTTATTATAGTTTTTGTTTTTCTTACGCATTCACTAAGTTTGTGTTTCTTCCTGAACTGCATCTGTGTTGTTTTACTTGACACTTGTTCTTGGCGGTAGCCATATTGATTTGTTCCTCCTGTTGTGTGTGATCTATCCAGCCAGGATAGAATAACGTTGATTTGTTGTGATTGGTAAATTTCTTGCATCCTTTATCAACTTTCTTATTTATTGTAATTTAGATTTGATCAATTGAACAATTATTGGTTGGATAGCTGAGTGGTTATATTTGTTTAGGTAATAATGTACACTTAAATTTATGATAAATTATAGAACCGCTATCTTACCCAATTACTTTGTTTTGGTTTCAATCGGGCGAGGGCGCGTATCTAACTCATCCAGACAGCTGTCCAGCAGTCCAAACGTAGTTTGGATCTTACAATGCCAACTCAAGCAACAAATACAGCACATCGCTCCAGGTACCGTTCTCCGAAAACAACCTTCGTTGGCAACTCGACGATCAACGATCGCTTTCCTGTTCGCCAATTCTTCCGTCCTACAATCGCTCGTCAACCGATCAGTCCCACGATTCAAACCGCTATTTATCGAAAGTGTAAACCCTTTCTAGCGGGGGGCTCCTGTAGTGACTCACATTTATCACGAGAACACGACTGGTTTATTAAAAACAACCATTATTATAACAAACTGTACCAGTGTTTGTTTTAATGTGCTTTTGTTTGACTGTGCTAATAACAGCTATTTTGTGCTTCCATTCTTATTCACACACTTCGATTGTAACTTCGCGCGAATTCAGTTACCTTCTGTAACCAAGGTTGTATCCTGGCACGATCTCGGTATCCTCTCGATGCCACGAGATCGCCAGCAAATATAACTCGACTTGGTCCTTTAATTGTCTTCTGATATTTGGCTTCTCGAGGATTTTACGGATTTATTTGGTTACGTTCAACCTTCGCCTTCTGATTCGCTTGGCACGTGTTTCTTGTAGCGGTGTTCATAGTTAAACTCAACTCGACCCCACGCTACAATTGGTGAACCCAAAGTTTGGAACACGCCTCAACCTCTGTTCGAATCCACTTCTGTCGTGTATTTTCATATTACCTTTCAATATATAATATACGCGACATGACGGATAACGATAAGAATAGTATTAATATAATAGACTCCCATGTACGTGTACCGAATCCTTGTCACTTATTATTCGCGTGACGGTAAATTCCACGCTTTATTCGAGAAAATTTCCCCTATTAACTTTTCTCCTCGCTGACCCGGCTGCTTGGTACGGAATGCATACGCATGAGCATATCCGTCTACCACCCAGCACCAAATGGTTAAGTAAACGGTTTCACTGCCAACTTAAAAGTGCTCTACGAGCACACGAGAACGACAACTGGTACGAAACCTTATCGCTCGTCCTCTTAGGTATTCGAACGAGCTTGAAGGCAGATATGCAATGTTCCGCCGCTGAACTGGTATACGGCACGACATTGCGTCTGCCCGGAGAATTCTTCACACCACGGAGCAGACCTAATTTCGGTAAATCAGACTACGTCCATTGACTGTCTGCATTTATGCGAACGCTGTCTCCGGTGTCAACTCGAATACAACATCGACAGGTCGCTCTCCCTCGAGAGTTATCTACCTGTTCACATGTTTTCATACGAGTAGATTCGGTACGCAAACCCTGACAACAACCTTACGAAGGCCCTTTTCACGTGATCGCTCGTCACGAAAAGACCTTCAAGGTTGATCGACATGTCCGCGTCGAGATCGTCAGCATTGATCGTTTCAAACCAGCACACGTCGATGACAGTGCCCTATCTGATAACCTGAGATTCAATGCTAGATATATCTGAGACCTCATTCTCACGTCCCGGTCAACAGCACGCGTCATCTGCACCGTCTACGGACGAGACGACAGTCTCACGTCCAGACCAGCAGACCACGCCGCCTCTGACCTCGGATGAGATTGCAGGCTCACGAAGTACGAACGAGACTACCGTCTCACGTTCCGGCCGCCGAGTACGGTTGCCCGTACGTTTCCGCGACTAGCCGCACAGTTAACAACCGATACGGTGTAGGACTATTCCTATGCTACATGCATGCTACACTCTTCTCTTTTTTGATTTTCTTTTGTTTCCTGAGCCCACGCCTTCGACCATCTCTGTTTGGTACCGTCGACTTCAGTCAACTTTGGCGAAAGCTGGCCTGATCACCCACGCTCTTGTCAACGTACTCAGTCGATATATTGGTTTCGAATGCTTGGCATACGCTTGATCTCGAATGCTCAGCATACGCTTGGTCTCGAACCTTGTCGTTTTGGTCGCTTCTGGTCTTTTGGCTCAACGTGGTTTCGTCCTACGTCTGCAACGTTTCTGGTCCGCTTTCCCTACGAACGCCATCTTCAGATTCTGGATACAAACCACTCTGGTGTAGCATGCCAACTCAAGCAACAAATACAGCACATCGCTCCAGGTACCGTTCTCCGAAAACAACCTTCGTTGGCAACTCGACGATCAACGATCGCTTTCCTGTTCGCCAATTCTTCCGTCCTACAATCGCTCGTCAACCGATCAGTCCCACGATTCAAACCGCTATTTATCGAAAGTGTAAACCCTTTCTAGCGGGGGGCTCCTGTAGTGACTCACATTTATCACGAGAACACGACTGGTTTATTAAAAACAACCATTATTATAACAAACTGTACCAGTGTTTGTTTTAATGTGCTTTTGTTTGACTGTGCTAATAACAGCTATTTTGTGCTTCCATTCTTATTCACACACTTCGATTGTAACTTCGCGCGAATTCAGTTACCTTCTGTAACCAAGGTTGTATCCTGGCACGATCTCGGTATCCTCTCGATGCCACGAGATCGCCAGCAAATATAACTCGACTTGGTCCTTTAATTGTCTTCTGATATTTGGCTTCTCGAGGATTTTACGGATTTATTTGGTTACGTTCAACCTTCGCCTTCTGATTCGCTTGGCACGTGTTTCTTGGTAGCGGTGTTCATAGTTAAACTCAACTCGACCCCACGCTACAATTGGTGAACCCAAAGTTTGGAACACGCCTCAACCTCTGTTCGAATCCACTTCTGTCGTGTATTTTCATATTACCTTTCAATATATAATATACGCGACATGACGGATAACGATAAGAATAGTATTAATATAATAGACTCCCATGTACGTGTACCGAATCCTTGTCACTTATTATTCGCGTGACGGTAAATTCCACGCTTTATTCGAGAAAATTTCCCTATTAACTTTTCTCCTCGCTGACCCGGCTGCTTGGTACGGAATGCATACGCATGAGCATATCCGTCTACCACCCAGCACCAAATGGTTAAGTAAACGGTTTCACTGCCAACTTAAAAGTGCTCTACGAGCACACGAGAACGACAACTGGTACGAAACCTTATCGCTCGTCCTCTTAGGTATTCGAACGAGCTTGAAGGCAGATATGCAATGTTCCGCCGCTGAACTGGTATACGGCACGACATTGCGTCTGCCCGGAGAATTCTTCACACCACGGAGCAGACCTAATTTCGGTAAATCAGACTACGTCCATTGACTGTCTGCATTTATGCGAACGCTGTCTCCGGTGTCAACTCGAATACAACATCGACAGGTCGCTCTCCCTCGAGAGTTATCTACCTGTTCACATGTTTTCATACGAGTAGATTCGGTACGCAAACCCTGACAACAACCTTACGAAGGCCCTTTTCACGTGATCGCTCGTCACGAAAAGACCTTCAAGGTTGATCGACATGTCCGCGTCGAGATCGTCAGCATTGATCGTTTCAAACCAGCACACGTCGATGACAGTGCCCTATCTGATAACCTGAGATTCAATGCTAGATATATCTGAGACCTCATTCTCACGTCCCGGTCAACAGCACGCGTCATCTGCACCGTCTACGGACGAGACGACAGTCTCACGTCCAGACCAGCAGACCACGCCGCCTCTGACCTCGGATGAGATTGCAGGCTCACGAAGTACGAACGAGACTACCGTCTCACGTTCCGGCCGCCGAGTACGGTTGCCCGTACGTTTCCGCGACTAGCCGCACAGTTAACAACCGATACGGTGTAGGACTATTCCTATGCTACATGCATGCTACACTCTTCTCTTTTTTGATTTTCTTTTGTTTCCTGAGCCCACGCCTTCGACCATCTCTGTTTGGTACCGTCGACTTCAGTCAACTTTGGCGAAAGCTGGCCTGATCACCCACGCTCTTGTCAACGTACTCAGTCGATATATTGGTTTCGAATGCTTGGCATACGCTTGATCTCGAATGCTCAGCATACGCTTGGTCTCGAACCTTGTCGTTTTGGTCGCTTCTGGTCTTTTGGCTCAACGTGGTTTCGTCCTACGTCTGCAACGTTTCTGGTCCGCTTTCCCTACGAACGCCATCTTCAGATTCTGGATACAAACCACTCTGGTGTAGCATGCCAACTCAAGCAACAAATACAGCACATCGCTCCAGGTACCGTTCTCCGAAAACAACCTTCGTTGGCAACTCGACGATCAACGATCGCTTTCCTGTTCGCCAATTCTTCCGTCCTACAATCGCTCGTCAACCGATCAGTCCCACGATTCAAACCGCTATTTATCGAAAGTGTAAACCCTTTCTAGCGGGGGGCTCCTGTAGTGACTCACATTTATCACGAGAACACGACTGGTTTATTAAAAACAACCATTATTATAACAAACTGTACCAGTGTTTGTTTTAATGTGCTTTTGTTTGACTGTGCTAATAACAGCTATTTTGTGCTTCCATTCTTATTCACACACTTCGATTGTAACTTCGCGCGAATTCAGTTACCTTCTGTAACCAAGGTTGTATCCTGGCACGATCTCGGTATCCTCTCGATGCCACGAGATCGCCAGCAAATATAACTCGACTTGGTCCTTTAATTGTCTTCTGATATTTGGCTTCTCGAGGATTTTACGGATTTATTTGGTTACGTTCAACCTTCGCCTTCTGATTCGCTTGGCACGTGTTTCTTGGTAGCGGTGTTCATAGTTAAACTCAACTCGACCCCACGCTACAATTGGTGAACCCAAAGTTTGGAACACGCCTCAACCTCTGTTCGAATCCACTTCTGTCGTGTATTTTCATATTACCTTTCAATATATAATATACGCGACATGACGGATAACGATAAGAATAGTATTAATATAATAGACTCCCATGTACGTGTACCGAATCCTTGTCACTTATTATTCGCGTGACGGTAAATTCCACGCTTTATTCGAGAAAATTTCCCCTATTA